TGTACCCGTTGTCTGGACATGGCTTCCATTGTCCTTGGTAGTTTTAGATTTGAGTTCTGTTTATGTATATTTCAAATAGAGGTTATAATTTTGTTTCATACCAGCTTTGCAAATCTAAAGTCTTAGTAGCTCATGACTTATTCTACCAATCCTTGGGTTATTGTATAAAATTCAATTATTTCACTTCTTAACTCTTATCATTGTTATTTGAATTGTGCTGGTTGTTATTTGGCTTACCTAATGGGTTGGGTTAGCTATCATCACGACTAGGTGGACATTGGGTTGTGACAATTTTAGCTTTTCATTTCGTATTTTAAGACTTTAAATAGCCTAGTTTAATGATTTATGACTTGCATGTGTGGTCCGTTTTGATTTCCGGAAAGTTTAAAGGTAATTCTTTCAAAGAAAATTTGATTTTAAGACTTAAGAGTTATTGGAGTTGAACACGGTCAACACTATTAGTAAACGATTGATGTTTGGACAATTTCGGTAGGTTCATATCATGATTTTGAACTTGTACGCATATCTGATTGGGGTCCCGGGTGATCTGAGGCCGTTTCAGTGCTTATTATGAAAAGTTGGAAAAGTGAGTTTATGAACATTGAAATCTTTGAATTTTGAAGCTAGATTCTTAATTGCAGATGTTATTTAGATGCTTTGAGCTTGCGAGTGTGTTCGAATGAGGTTTATATACTTGTGTGGATGTTAGGGGTGGGGCGCAAGGGGCCCAGGTGAGTTTTGGGGTGGTTTTCAGCATTTTTGCACAAATTGCAGCAGCTGATCTGCTGCTGGTGTGGTGTGCATCGCGAACGCGGAGCTTGTCTTGCGTTCGCGAAGGGTTATTTGGGATGGGAAGATTTTACTCTACGTTAACACGAAGGTGAGCTCGTGGACACGATGGACTGATGGGAATTGGCCTTTGCGAATGCGGCTACCGATTTGCAAACATGTAGGCTTGGCCACTTAGGGCTGGTGGATCTTTCTTCATCGCGAATGCGACAACAGTGTCGCGAACACGGAGGCTTGGGGGTCGACAGCCTTTGCGAACGCGAGAAGACCTTTCCAAACGCGATGATCAGTCGATCATTGGCCATCGTGAATGCGAAGAACACATGACGCCCATGTATATAAAGGGCTGAAAATCAGGATTTAGTCACTTTTCATCATTTTTGAGACCTATGTCATGATTTGAGGAGAATTTTAGAGGATTTTCATCCCAACTTATAAGGTTAGAAAATTTTACTTAGTTTTGGTTTATTTTCAAGAATTTTCATAGATTTTCATTCCTAAATCTAGTGTTTTCTAGTGTAGAAATTGAAATTTTGGGGAAAACCTTACGAGGGCTAATTTTGAGAATTTGGACCCCGATTTGAGGACCAATCTTGATTTGAATCACATATTTGGACTTGGGGAAGAATGGGGGAACGAGAATTGGTCTTAATTTCAGATTTCAACCATGTAAGCTCGGGTTGACTTTTTGTTAATATTTTCAAATATATACAAGATTGAACCTTTTTGATACTAGGATAGTTTTTAAAGCTTGGACTTTTTTGACTTATTTAAGCGTTAATTGACTGATTCGAGTGGTTTGGAGACTTGTGCAAAAAGGAAAAGCAGTATTGGAGAGTCGATTTGTGTCGGAAAGAGGTAGGTATCTTGGTTAACCTTGATTTGAGAAAATTATAATGTAAATGTGTCTTATTGCTACATATTATATGTGTTTGGAGTGGCTTATATGCAAGGTGACGAATGTATATGCGTTTGTTATTTGTTAAGCATGCATGTAGAACTAGTTTTTTTACATCTAGTTGCTTTATGTATTATGTCTTTCATGTTTAATTAAATTGAATCTTTGATTGTTCTTATTCTGTTAATAGCGGTGTTGAGCCAATTGTGATATTGCACAGTAAGACTATTGAAATGTTGATTTTGCTATTGGTGCAAAAGTGGTGACTAATTTTCATATGGCGAGTTATGTTCAATCACTCTTCATGATATTATTTGTGCGTCCCATCTTGCTTGGTACTACTTTATATGTCTATACTTGGTGAGGAAGAGTAAATTGATGAAGGGTGTTTCCGTGCTAAATTGATGAAGGGTGTTGCTGTGCTTGTGAAAAAGAGTGGTTATGAACGAAGGGTGCTTCCGTGCTTCTTTATATTATTACTATTGCATGAAGGGTGTTTCCGTTCTTGTGAGAAGAGTGATTATGCACAAAGGGTGTTTCCGTGCTTGTGAGGTTGGGAGTAAAAACACGAAGGGTGACTCCGTGTCATCTGATTGCTATCTCTTATTCCTTGCTTTTACTATACGAATTGAGAACTTGGCTATGTTGTTTCATGGTTGCTTTGCCTAATTCTTTGACTTGAGTTGTTGTGAAATGCTTGTTTGGTGTTATTTTAAAATTATAGTCATTACATTCCTTAGTTGCTTCTTTCATTATCCCTAGTATTATTACGTCTAGCTATTACGCTCGTTATCTTTCTCGTTATTTATTTTGCTTTCGTACTAGCTATTTTCCTTTATTGCCCTTCTTGCTATATCTCTCATCATTTTTCCTCGTTATATCACTGCGTAAGTTTATATGTGTGTCTTGTCTTAGTCTCGTCACTATCTCGTCGGGGTTAGACTTGATACTTACGAAGTATATTGGGTCGGTTGTACTCATAGTACACTTCTGCATTTCTTGTGTAGATTTTGGCACCGGACTTAGTGGTACTCAGAGGACGGACTAGCTTGCTTGATTAAGGAAACTCGAGGTAGTGCTGGACTCTCGTCCGCATATCTTGTTGTCACCCATCTTTTAGACCTTCTATTGTTTATTCGTGCCAAATAGTGTATTTATAATTTCAAACGTTATATTTAATAATTTGTAAAAGCTCATATACTCAGTGACACCAGTTCTAGGAGGTTTTAGACGGTTGTTGATTCTAGTGTTGTTATTCATTACTAAGCTTTATCCTTTATTATGATATCATGATGTTTTATGCCTAGTTTTGATCCTTTATTTCCGTTAAGTTTGGCTTATCTAGCAAGCAGTATTAGGCACCATCACGACCCTCTTAGTTGAAAATTTGGGTCTTGGCAATATTGTGGTTAGCTCATCTACAACAAAGGTAAATATGTGCATGCTTAACACAAAGCCTGGTACAAACCCATGTAAGGAGGAACTCATCCGTGTCTTCTACTATGATTCTCACACTTATGACAACTTTTTCGTACGTATCCTTTATGATATTCATATATTTATTTGACATGAATTCTTTTCTAATAAGAATTTTAACATTTCACATTTAAAGTTTTTTTTAAAATCAAACTAGTCTATAAAGTAATTCTAATATTAAAATGTATGCATAACAATACTGCATTTTCACTCATGCATAACAATAAACAATGTTCATATTATAATTCATGTATAACTAGTCTATGAATTCACCAATTTAAAGAGTATTTGGAAGTTCAAATTAAAAATTAGTAAGTGAAATCCGTTACTCGCTCTATTCAAAAAGGAATACTCCGTTTGTTTTAATTTATACCGAATTACTGTACCGAAATCGCAAATTTTGATATTTGGTATTCGATATTTTGGTATTCGGTATGGTATTTCGTTTAATTTTTAAAAAACAATTGGTATTAGGTATGGTATTTGGTATTTTAAAATAAAATACTGAAATAGCGATACCGTATCAAAATATATATTATATTGCACAGTACACATATTATTGATTATAACATAAATATAAAAAATTTAAAATTTTGCAATTTCTTTATTCTCTAAGTTCATCAATTAACTCTAAGCAAGTAAGAAAACATTTCTAATGATCAAATTTATTCATTTATCTACCGTTTTCTCTCTCTAGGTTGATATTTGCTAGTTTTGGACAAAATTTTTGTCAACAAATATTTTTAGTTTTGTACTTTTGAGTACTTTAATTAAGAATATTACCGTCTATGACTCTATGTGCTAGTTAGTATTCAAACCGAATAAACTGAAACTACCGAACCGAATAAACCGAAATCGAAGGGAGAAAAACTGAATCATACTGAATTTAATTAGGTACGGTATTGGTATAGCATTTTAAAAAATCGAATACCGAAAATATCAAACCGAAATATCTAAATATCGTACCGTACCGTACCGGCCGACGAACACCCATCCTTACATGAATTGTTGAGACCCACTCAATATAGACCTGCATTGTGTAGGCATACTTCCAAGTAGAAGAGTTAATTATTTAATTTTAGGTGTAAATTTGGATATACTGTAAAATTTGGTCTTGTTTGTTCCGATATTTTTTTTTGCTGCTATAGTGATGTTCTATTATAGAAAATACATATTATAATATAACATGAAAAATTAGTTTCAATTTTTTTTTTTACCATTATAGTGAACTGCTGTATACAGCATAATTATACAGAGGTCTCGCCGTAGATTCTTTAAATTATAATAATAAAATTTGTATATTTAAAACTATATAAAAAATATTATAAGTTAAAATAGTTAATAATTTAGCATATCAAAAAAATATTTAAAAAAAGGGTCAAAAAAGCTTTTCAAATACTTAATAGATGTGCCAAACAAAGTAAAACACACAGGGAGTAGGAGATAATAATATGAAAGGATTTAAAACAATGTAATTTGATTTCCTACCTTCACTTACCTTCCTCGTTAGGTACTTCTCCAGTCTCCTAGAAATCAAGTATATGCTATGAGAAATTGAATGTTTTGAATTGTGGGAATTGCGGATTTGGGGAAATGAAGCAAAGTCCGAAAGCCACGCGCCGCACTCGCCACTACGGACCTGTTCCGTTCACGATTGTGCCTTTTATGATGAATGCTACTTGAAAAGTCAAGTTTGGTGCTGATGTTAATTACTATGTTGGAGTAGAAGTGTCAATTGAGGTGAGGGTATAACTGTACTTTAATACTTGGAGTTAAGCTCACCTGTCTTATAAAGCCCATTTGCTCTGAAGTTTCACCTATCTTTAAATTTTCCTTTTCACTCATTCTTGTTAGATTAGGGATAAATTTTAGCTCAATCTTTTCTTTTGGGGTGAACTGGACTTTGAAAACTATCCAAAAGGTAAATGTTTTTTCATGGTTGGTTCTATTAAAGTTTTTTGCACTGTTAAACTTCGTTTAAGTTCACATTTAGTTGAGAAGTAGGTTGCCATGTGAGGTGCTTGATAGATAGAAGTTACTCGGTACTCAAAGGCGGATCCAATATTTTAGCTCTGTGGATTCAACATTTATTATTTTTGGCGTTGAGCCCATTATATTTTTAAAGTTATGTGTTCATATCTATTATTTATTGTAATTTTAGTATATTTTTATCCATACATTTATACTGCATATAGAAAGTACTGGGTTCAGATGAATCCGTTGTCCGAAGGCTGCATCCGCCCCGTTGTCCGAAGGCTGCATCCGCCCCTGTCGGTACCTATATTGTTGGAAGATAGTAGGTATCTTATGGAATAGCAGTAGGTATCTTATGGAATAGTCCAGGAGTGCATAAGTTGATTTGGACACAACCATTATATGAAAAAAGAATAGGTTGCTTTGTTAGCTTAGCAAAAAAGCCTCATGAGTGGGAGGTGATGGAGAAGAAGTGTAGTGCCTTCGAAGGTCTATAGTTGCTAACGTTTAGCTATGTATTTGCATGCATGTATGTATTTGTATGGTTATGATATTGGTGAAGTACTAGACGGAGAAGAAAGATAGGAGAAAGAGAAAAAGAATGAGAGAAGAATAAGGGAGGTTTCCTTAGTGTGCTCTACTTCCGGCCAAGAGAGGTTGCTTTGAGCGCTTTGTATCCAACCAAGAGGTTGATAGTTCGAGTCACTAAGGTAGGAAGGGAGGAAAGTGCAAAAACTTGTAGCCCTAAGAATAGGATTTGGATTTTGTAGGGTGTTGTTTACCAAAATGGGAGCAAAAAAAGAAGGTAGAGGTAAATTTAAGCATTGGTCGCCTAAGGTGTTATTTAAGTATGTTGCAAACAAAGTATATGAAGGTCTTTCCTTTTTAGTTTGTTTTAAAGGAGTGACATCTTTGTATATTTGAAAATTCTTTAACTTCAAACTTTTCATCTTACTCCTAACGACATGCTCTTATAGCAATAGAAATGGCATAACATATTTAAGACCACAAGTTATAAGGGTACTTTTGATATGTGCCAAAAATATTTCTTTCTTAAACTTTATGCTTAGTCAAACAATGCTATATAAAATAAAAAGGAGGGGGTATGATTATCTCTAATAGGAGTAATAGATTATTCTTCAGTAAGGTAAAGGCAAATAACATAAAAAATAGAAGATAATGATAAAGTTTTCTTTGTGATTTACATCAGATATATCGTCGGCCATAATTTGCCGTTTGGATTTTTGAATGACTAGAGATTTACTTCCTTGCAGCTAGTTTTTGCTTATCTCGCTAGTTGGCTTAACTAATGTTGGATGGACTTTGTGAAAGTAAATAAAGTTAGTGTTAATGCTTGTTGAATTGATGGCTGGCAGCAGTGGCACAGCTAAAGGTAAGGAGTGGGTTCAATTGAATCCCCTTTATCCGTAAATTACAGTGTGCAAGTAGGGTAGAAACACTTTTTTTTGTATATATATAAACGGTTGAATGCCTTACCATAAAAGGAGATTTCTAGGTATAATATTTTTGCTTTTTTTTTTAATCTCCTTGTCAGGAATTTTGGCTCCGCGGCTCCTCCATTGGCTGGCATAACTGGTTATTGTTGTTTTTTCGTGCTTTAATTCCTTTATAATGCTCATTATAAGTTGACATAATAGTCTTCAGTTCATGAATGACAAACATAAAGCTGTATGAAATTCTTGATGTACAAATTGTAGCTTCCATCTTGTCTCTCTGTACTCTACTAAAAAGTAAACAAGTTTGGGTTTTGTATGCATGACTTAAATTTCTGCATTCAGGTGAGTTAGAGGCATGGAGCCGGAAATACACAGACTAGTCCCTTGGTCTAGTATACTTAGGTTTTAACTTACAGGAATTACTGAACAAGAATAGTATATGCATGTGCAAAGAATTTTGTCTAACATGCTCTTTTGAATTTGAATCCCCATACTCCTTCTGTCTGTCTTTGTCTCTGACTGTTTCTGATAGTTTTGTTTACTATACCCTGGTCTTTATCTTATACTAGGTTAGGCCTTCTTGCTTTAAAATCCGTATACCTGACTTTTATTTGGGGTATATGCTTATTCTCAGATATTTAATTCCTCTTCAACCCTTAAGGTGAGTTCGTTAAACATTATTGACCTGTTCAGTAATGATCCTGTAGGGGTGGATGTGAAGGCAAGCCTCTGACAGTACTGGACATAGTGGACCCACTATATTGGATAAAGAGCACTCTCCAATTGATGCCTGAAGCCTGTACTCTATGTCGCCAGTATGTCCAGCACCTCTTTGCCGCCAGTTTTGGAAAGCTGGGAACTACAATGACGGGCTTTTTTCCAAGTCTTCCCCTAAAAGTATAATTCTTTCAAATACTCGATCTCTGTCTTTGTCCAAATACATATGCTTTGGTGACTTTAAGGATTCTGTTCATGATGAGTTAGACAGTGATTGCCCATGCTTTAAACTATTTGAAGTGATACCTTCACCTATTATCTTCCTTTTTCCTTCCAGTTAAAACATGTATGTGAGGCTTCATGTCAACTCACCAGCAGATTCCTGGTCACGTATACACTTATATCTCCATCTACTGTTATCTGACTTGTGGTCTCTTTTGGCAGATGGGACCAGTTTCCTGCGTATACACCCCAAGTTCCTTCACTCGAATGCCACTTCACATAAATGGGCATTTGGGGGTACGTGTTCTTGTCAGTGCCTCAGCTTACAAGGGTCGAATAATTGCTGACTTCACTTGCTTTCCTTGTGTTCTGTTTTGTAGCCATAGCTGAACTGGTTGACAACGCTGTTGATGAGGTAAATTGCTGTTCAAGTTTCTAAGTTTTTCTATGTTTTATTTCGTTTTTGGGCAGGAAATGATAGAAGTTGCTTCCTATTTTCTGCTGCGCTGGGGAAAATTGCTAACATATTTGGTATATGGAGGCTACACTTGTTGTTCTCTTCATGCTCTTAACTACTTAACCCTATTTTTGTTTAGAATTCCTAATTATGATGTCTTTGACCTATTTTTTTATTGGAAAACCTCTGAAGTAAGTGATGGAGTGAAACATCTATATTTTAACTATATTGTCACTCCATTTGTCCTGTGTTAAAAGTTTGTTGATCTAAAGAAAATGGACATTGGGCCTAATTGAACCCCAAAAGTTAGCTTATGATGTGAAGATTATCCAAGACGATATAAGGAGATAATAGCCTATTCTCTCGGCCAATGTGGGGCATTCTAACAGTCTAACCGCACGCCCATGTCTAGACTTTTGGAGCATGGACAATATAATATGGGGGCCCAACATTGGGTGAACTAAGAATAGAGATGAGTCTAGCTCTGATACTGTGTAAAAGAAGATGAATCTAGAGTCTAACTCAACTCCAAAAGCTAGCTCATATTGAGAAACTACGCAAAATTGTATAAAGCAACAACAATCCATTCGCTTAACCATGTGGGACATTCTAACAATTGACATGAGTAGAAATGTAAGCTTTCAAAAATGTGGATTGATTTGAAGCCATCTCTTTGTCGTTTAAAGCGATAAATCAATATGAAGCGAGGGGTTATTGCTTCAGAGAAGTGTGCACTTCAAATAATGACGCACAAAGCAATCGGTACTTTGAATCTCAACAGTGAAGAGTTGTACCAATATCGGTATTATTATTACTTTGATAAGGAATACTGTTATTATATATTTAATGCTGAATTAGTGACTTTAATTACAATTTGAGTATTATAGTGGTAAACTCTATGTTGGGTATTTCCAATTTTCCGTAAATTATGCGCCTCACTTTTCGTTTCAAGCCCTATGGTTTTTTGCGCTTTTTGCTTTAAGAGACACTAGTCTTGTGCAATCCTTATCGAATGAGCTTGTTTTTGAGGTTGAGTTAGACCAAGATCTATTTTCCTAACCAAAGCAATTAGTAGGAAACTTCCTTATTTGATATAACCTAAACTCCTACACGAAAACTCTATAATATGTTGTTCACCTCTCAATTCAGTAAGAGTTTTCTCTTTTTTATCTTTTCACATATAGATGACAATCTCAGGGCATATAATCAGTCATGTATGTGATAAAGCTGTGACTCATCCATCTCATGCAGTTGAGTATGCTTACTTTTCTATTTTTGCATTCCATGTTTCATTTGTTTGGCAGATACAAACTGGGGCCACCTTCGTCATTGTAGATAAATTATTAAACCCGAAGGATGGAAGTTCAGCTTTATTAATTCAAGGTATCCATTTCTTTCTGGGTTTTTTTGTTCTTCTGATAGTGAAGGTTGCTGTTCTTATGGTTGTACAACTATTAATATGAGACTGACAGTTTCTATTATTCTACTAGATAATGGTGGTGGAATGGACCCCGAAGCCATGCGTTGCTGTCTGAGTTTTGGATTTTCAGATAAGAAGTCTGAATCAGCCATTGGACAGTGTATGGAGATTAAATAATTGTTTTTCCTTTCCGTTCTCTCGTTTTTTTATGTAAGTAATGTATCTCCTTTCAGACGGAAATGGTTTCAAGACAAGTTCGATGAGGCTCGGGGCTGACGTTGTTGTATTCAGCCGCTGTATGAAGAACAGGTTTGATACCAGTGGATTATAATTGCACGTGCTGTTTACTTTTTTCCTTCTTTCATCCTGGGAGAATTTTACACTATGTAGCAGTCAAAATGGGGTCTTTCTCTTTGTCAGGATGTGAACTTACTTGGAGAGAGATGCTGATGTATCTCTACAGGATTACAACTTTGTATAATAGGGGTTTATAGTTTTATATTTCGACACTATAAAGTTGATTTTTGACTTGTTGAAGTGAAGGAAGAAGGATAAGATGACAAAAATGGTCCTTTATGTTTTTCGGTAGGTCTAAAATAGCCCCTTAAATACACCCGGAGCGGTTTTGGTCCTTTAAGTTAACCAAAAGTAAGCATTTTTGGTCTCTGTCAAATGTTTAACAAACTCTAATTGTAGATTTAACGGATTTGCCAAAAAAAAAATTTAACAGAAACTCAAAATTGGAGGTGCAATTGCTGCTATTTTTTAAAATCTATTTCTGGTGTCTTGTGCATTTTTTGGTGATGCAGTTTCTGGGATTTGACGGGATTTTCTTGATGTTCCCGGCTGAATAATTGTTTCTTTCCACTATTCTCTTTAAATCTAACTTCCAGAATTTTTTAATTATTTGGCAGCGACCAAAAGTGCTCATTTTTAGTGAAATCAGGAGTACAATAATGGACTATTTTAAACTTATCCCAAACATAAAGCTTCCGACCTATATACCTTGAAGCAGTTGAACTTAGGGGGTACTATTTAGCTTTCAACTACTTGTTTGTTTGGTTGGATCTGTTGCTGATTTAAGCAGTGTTATTAATAGTCAACTTTTCGTTGCTTAAAGCAATTGAACTTAGGGGGTACTATTTAGCTTTCAACTATTTGTTTGTTTGGTTGGATCTGTTGCTGATTTAAGCAGTGTTATTAAAAGCCATCTTTTCGTTGCTTAAGGTGATGAAGCAATGCGAAGTGAGGGGTTATCACTTCATGGGTGAACCCGTGCGCCTCAGAGAAGTGTGCACTTCAAATAAGGATGTGCAACGTGATCTCAACGAGAAGCGATCCATTCTTTAAATCTCAAGTTTAAGGGGTTGGCTTAATATCCGAGTTGTATATTGGATGCTTAAATTATCAATCTTTATTGCAATTTGATTATTTAGGTTCTAAAAACAACNCAATCTTTATTGCAATTTGATTATTTAAGTACTAAAAGCAACTATGCTTGATATTTTTTTATTTTGTAAATTATGCGTTTCACTTTGACAAAGCATGTGCTTCAGTTCTTGCTTTTCGCTCAAGCCCGATGAGCCTTGTGACTTTTTTGCGCTTTTTCACTTTTAAATACATTTAATTTAAGGATTTCAGGACCAACTCTTTTACCAAATTAACTTGAAGGACCAAACTGGACCTGGTCATAAGTTTTAGGAATTAAAGGTATTGTTTCTCGCTTTAGGTTTACATGACACTGTCTTTTGAGGGGTATATGTAATAAGGCCTCATTCTGCCTTAAAGTTCTTCCTCCATCAATTAGAATTTGTCATATGTAATAGTGCCCGATTACTGTTTCTTCTATTCTTCCTTCCTACCCTGACACAATATTTCCCTTTGTTAGAACTATTTTAGGTAACTGTTCTAGTATTCCAAGTTAAATGTTCTTTTTGACTTGGTTACTTTATGATGTTCTTGTTCTACTTAGGATCCATCAAGGTAAGAATTAAAAAATGTATCTTGTTTAATTAATGTTAAATGGGAAGATTATATGGGCGACCTGCTAGTTGTAAAAAAGACAATTACCTTCTTTTTTGTCTGCAATTTATGGAGTAGAAGAGGGGAAGAGTTTAGGATAATTCAACATCGGAAAGAAATGTCCTTATTAAACAGGATGAATGTTCACTTTGGGATGGATCTCTTCTTGGGACCAGTAGCATGTGAAAAGCAGAAAGGATCTCTCTTTCTTCTTTTCCCTCGAAGGGCTAGGGGATACTACCCTACTCTACTCTAGGCTGTTTCACCTCTGCAACTCCAACGTCTTGTTTTCTTTTCTATTTCCTGAATGGTCAGTTTAAAGAAGATACTACAAATAATTATTCTTATGGTGAATGAAAGAAGCATTTTTCTTTTGGATCCGGCAACTTGCTCACTGTAGTTGGTCATTAATCCTTTGATCTCTCTACGCTTCTATTCTGAGCAGGCAATGGACACAAAGCATCGGTCTTCTCTCCTATACATTTTTGACACGAGCAGGCCTTGACAGAATAGTGGTTCCTATGGTGAGCCTTTTCATTTGCCTCTCTAAGCATTTACCGCAATATACAAGCAGTTGTATTGGTTACAGTGTTTTAAAAGGCATTTTTGGGGTGGGTCCCGGGGCGAATCCTGTGTCGGGGCATAGTAAAAACACAGCAGGGCGATCCTGGGGGCAAAAGTATCGCGAGGCATAAGCCCCATTGTTCTGGGCATATGCTTACGCGTTGGGTAAGTTTTTGTTTTGGGGCGTAAGCCTACGATGCCTCTCAGATTAGAATTAAAATTGCTAAACAAGTCCTTAATATAATATCAAAAAGCACAAAGTCAGCTTGTTATTAAATTCTAAAAAGTTAAAAAAGTTTAAAGTCAAGAAATTTCTTAGCCCTAATTTTTATTCTTTCTCTTCGTCATCTACCGGGTAAAGGAGAAAATGATCAATTTGCAATGACAAAGCAAACATGCATCATCCTCCATCACTTGCTCTGGTTTGACGCTTTTGATTGTAGATTCCTTCTTTGCTTGTCTTTCTTTTGAAGTTCTTATGCTCTTTCAAGTTAGTATATACATTTCTACTCTACATATTTCCGAAGTCTGATTAGTCTTTTCAGATGAAGCAATCCTGATTAGTTTTTAGTCAATTGTTGATTCTATTTAGGGTTTTAAGATGAAGCAATTCTATACACATTTCCACTTGTTTTATATTTTATTGAAATTTCTGTAATTTCTATGTAATATTTACCTTCTTTTAATTATAATTTCCGTTATATCAATTTGTAAAATATTACAAATAAAGATTCATGGGGCTTACACTCAGCCCCATGAGGCTTATGTCCCGCCTCGCCTCGCGCCCGCGTCTTTAAAACACTAATTGGTTATTTGATCTACAAGCAACTAATCAGGCTTGGTTTCTGAATGATAAAAAAAATATTCAGGATTGGTTTTCTGTATGTGCTGAGTGGTAATTGTGCATTCAATTATTTATTCTGACAATCCCGTTCGGTCCTTTTTAAAAAGAAAATCCTTCTTTTTGGAGTGTTCAATATGCCTTTGAAAACGTGAGATTAGTAATTGTGTATCAGTGGTTTGGTTGAACATATAAAACTTACCTTTAGAATGTTGATGCAAGTTTTATCTTGTCCGTATCCTTTAAAATGGATTGGGAAGTTACTTCTTATAGACTACCCTTGCCAAGTGCGATCTGTGTCAGTAAGCACAAGCACCTGATTCAAAACTTTAAGCATTATCCGATGCTTATTTCCAGCATACACAGAGTTGTGTGTGCTCTTGTAATCCACCTGTTCAATGTCATTCCAGTTTGATATGTGAATTTACAGCTTATGTGCATGAAGCTATCAGTTAGTACTGATTGAGCTGGGTACAACAACAACAACCCAGTATAATCCCACTACTGGGGTCTGGGGAGGGTAGTGTGTACGCAGA